CTTCGATGTTACTATTGTGTGTTACTGTAGTAAGTCTAATGGCAGATTTTTCCTTCTTTCACCTACTTAGCCATATAAGCCCTTCAGGGGCTAAGGTCTTCTACAAGTCTGGTTCTGAGAAATCTGTCTTAATTATTTCTTCAACAATTTCCTCCTTCCTTTTCTTCCTTCCTCTAAGATTACTATTTATCTAGTTAAAACACATTCTACAAAAACCTGCCAAATCTCTTGGACTTTACATGTTCTCTCTATCATTTAATGCTGTCTTTGCAGAGAATTCCTCAAAGTCACCTTCCAACCTGTGAGTATATACATCACCTGTGACTAACATTAGACTGCTGTCTTATTTTTACTATATTTTTTCATACCTAACATTTCTATTAGGTTCTATGCTCTTTTTCTTCTCTTATTCTTGCATCATATTGTTACTACTTTTCTTTTAAAATATATTTATCATGCTTGTTTTAAATTCTTAGTCAATCTTTTCTAATATTTTCTATGAGACAGTGTATATTACTTACTCTGTTGCCTTTCTTCAAGAGTAACTGTACTACTAAGATGATTAGTTTGGTTATAAACTGATATTCCTCTGGGATAACAGCCACTCTATCTAGTTGTATGCATGGAAAAAGAACTAAGAGCCAGGCTTATTTGGTGAATTTAAAAGAAGGGGAGAGGGTGGAGCCTGTGACTCAGTGAGTGAGGCGCTGGCCCCATGTTCCGAGGGTGGTGGGTTCAAACCCAGCCCTGCCAAACTGCAACAACAACAACAAAAATAGCTGGGCGTTATGGTGGGCACCTGTAGTCCCAGCTACTTGGGAGAATGAGGCAAGAGAATGGCCTAAACCCAGGAGTTGGAGGTTGCTGTGAGTTGTGACACCACAGCACTCTACCAAGAGCAATAAAGTGAGACTCTATCTTAAAAAAAAAAAAGACAGGGAGAATGACCCACCAAGGAAAAAGCCCCAGGGACCTCAGAACCACTACTGTTTACTCAAATCTGCTGGCATTCCCTGCTCAATACTTTGGTTAGGAACTCTCAGGTACAAATAGTACTGGGAACAAACAATCTTTTTCCACTGAAACCTACCAATCTGGGAGTTTGGATAAGGTGTGAAAAAGAGGTGGAAAGGGGATCCCCTAAGGGCAGCTAGTCAGGCCATATCTGTTAGCATAAATGCTATCAAAGCCCTGTGAGACTCTTTGAATGGACACTGAGGCTTGAATCATTACTACTCATTTCTGTGGTGAAGGCACAGGCAAGGACAATCTCAAGGCCACACCCTGTGAAAGCAACAACAGAACTTAGCCATTTTCCAACCTGTTTCTCACTGCTGTCTGGCAGTCCTTAGTCCCAGAATGTAGCCAATATCCCTCAACTCAACCATCAACAGATAGAGATTCAAGAAAGCCTTCACCCCCCTCTACTTCTCTTATTCCTCTAGTTTCTTGAGAATTGATTTGGGTAAGGGAGTCAACAGCTGGGAGTAATTTGATAGGAAATAGAAACCAGCACAGAAACTGTTTTTTTAAATCAAAGCTGTAAAAGTTTTGCTTAGTTTCACCCCTCCTAATCCAGTTCAGAAATATGAGGCAAGCAAATCAATAAAGACTTAATACTTACTAAGAGAATATCTTATCACCAAGTTAACCCGAGACAGCTACATTTCAGAGAGTAATGACAAGCACTTCTAATTCTTTCACGATGTTCATGTTTCTAGCTCCATACATTTGAAAACACATTTTATTTTTTCTAACTTTTCATTAGCCATAGACTTATAAAACACTCCGTATAAATTTATGGATAACATTTTTTAAAATCCCCCTCTATAATTATCCTGCTCACCAAGATTGCTAACTTCTAAACACTATTAAGAGGCACAATTCCCCAGTTTTCCAAGACTGCAACAAGCACTCCCAAACACACACATATACCACTTAGCCTCAAGGTGATATGAAACTATGTTAGCAACAGAGAAAAAAGTCAGCAGACGGGATGCCATTTCAATTAAAGGCTGGAAATGAAATAACCCAGCCTAGGACCTTAGACATCTTCCCCAAATGAAGCCAGTAAGGAAGAGCTAAGAGTTGGTGGAAAGTTGATAGGGCTTGGTTGGTAAATAAATTTGGATGCTCCCTCTAATAAGGTCATTTAAAAAGTTAATTTCACCTTAAATTTTATAAGGGAATAAAACATCTAATACCAAGGAAGTAATGGTTCTGCTCTTCTCTGTACTAGTGAGGTGATATCAATAATTATTTTCAGTTCTGACCACCAGACCATATACTCTGAAGGTTTCAAAATAGTCTTAATTTTTACCAATAGAATGACTGGAAAAGATATTAGTGTTTTAAATTTATAGTTTTCTGGCTAACCAGTAAGGCTGATTATCTACTGATGAAGAAATGCAAACAGGTAATAAAATTCCTGTCAATTACTTGTTTATATTCCTATCACTTTATCAATTTTCTGTAGGTTCTTTCCTTTTTAAAAATTTGTTTCTAAAAATTCTTTGTAAGGATTTTTACCTTTTCTCAGATATATAAATATTTTCTCCCAATCTATATTTGTACTTAACCTTTATTTACAAGGATTTTTCTACATAACTTAAAAAAAAAAAAACTTTGTATGTCATCAAGTCTGTTTTTTTACTTATGACATGTTATTTTCTGCTTTTCTTCAGATAGTCTCTTCCACCAGAGATAATACAAACTCTATCCAACAGTCTGTATTTTTTCGCATTTACGTCTTGGTTTGAAGCAGAGATCCAACTTTATTTTCTACTAGCTGCAATATACATTTATTAAATAAAAGACTTTTTCCCTCTGAACTGTCCTTCTATAATACTTTCAAGTTCTACAGCTACATGTACAGTTGGATTTTAATTCTTTTCTATTATTTATTCTTATACTATTTTTTATTAGAGATATGTGGTAATTTTTAAAGTCAAGGATCCCTAATACTTCCTTTCTCAGTTTTCTATAATATATTTACTTAAAGAGAACTTTCTCCAGACATAGATGCTAAGGTACAAAATGAAAGATGTATGTATTATCTTGTAACTAAAAAATGCAGTTAACTCAGTGGATAGGCAGTCTCAATTAGATTCCACACAATAAAAATAAAATAGGAAACACAGATGCTTCTTGACTTACTATGTGGTTAAATCCCAATAAACTCATCATAAATTGAAAACATTGTAAAGTCTAAAATGCACTCAATACACCTAACATACCAAGCATCATAGCTTCGTCTCACCTTAAATGTACTCAGAACACTGACACTGGCCTACAGTTGGGCAAAATCATATAATACAAAGCCTATTTTGGAATAAAGTGTTGAAAATGTAATTTATTGAATACTATACTAAAAATGAAAAACAGAATGTCTGTATGGGCACTTATGTACAGTTCCTAGTGAATGCGCATCACTTTTGCACATTGCAAAGTTGAAAAATAGTTGCATCATCGTAAACTGGAGAACATATATAACTACATGGACAAATTTCCTCATTAAAAAGCACAGGGGAAAAAGGGAACAGCTGACAAGTATGACAGAAAGTATGCATCTCATTTGAGGCTCTAAACAACCATCATAGGAGACAGAGGAAATAAGCATAGGGAGGAAAATGGAACAGCATGTTAGGTAAGAATCTGATTAATGGGAAAAAGAAAAAGAGATCAAACATCTACTAAGGGAGGCATATAGACCAAAGGAGATGGAGTCGGCCAGTACTTCACTGTCCAATCCTATCTACAAAAATGAAACTGACCATGCTAAACACCATACCCCACATCTAACCTTCCATCTAGCCAAGAGCACTGAGTTCAACTGATACAATAGTTATGTGAACTCCACGACCTGCTCTTCTGATTTTCAGAGATTATCACCCACAAACAGCAATAGAAAATATAAGCATTGTAAGTCTTCACCAGCATTGACCCCCAGTCCACTCTCTAATTCCTCTGAAAAACACATTTGAGTCCCCTGATAACAGCTGGGAGCAGGAATGTGGCTACTCTACTGCTTGCTCTGAAAGCCACAAAATAAGCCAAGAGAAATGATATTGAATAAAACTAAGATAATGCTAACATCCCCAAACCATAGATCACAGAGTATTTTATCAAATACAATTTAAAACAAGTGGATAATATCGCAAGCCAATATATACCTCTACATACCCAAGTAGTGTTGGATTTTTCTGAAATTAACATCAAAGATCCTAAGGACTTTTATTTGAAACAAAGATAAACGAGGGTGCAGACAAATCACAGGACAGATTGCAAAAATTTCTGAGGGCATATTTCTGAATGGAGGAATGGCAAGGGAAATGGGAATGAAGAAGAGATTACATGTGTACATACCATCTTTATTTCTTCTGCCTTTAAATTGAGGGAGAAAAAGGAAAGTATGGAGGAAAGTGAAGAACAACTATCCTGCAGCAATGATTAGCATTAAAGAGAAATAAATGTCTAAGTTACATGAGGAGCCAAAATGTACTCTATTTGCCCCAAAGAAGGGAACACCAATGCTGAGAGGAGATGGTTCTGGGTTGAAGAATGCAGATGTCTTTGTGAGGAAGCATCCTGAGACAAGAAAAGTGAACTGAACCTTCAGATGCCCCAGATCACAGCCCCCCGCAGCCCCTCAGTACTACTATTACTGAAGATAATAATAACAGTACCCAACATTAAGCTCTTACTAAATTCTAGTCAATATTCTGGTAGTTTTATAAGTATTAGCTCTTTTAATCTTCAAAACTGGAGTAAGCACACATCTCCATTTCTACAGATGAGAAAAATAAGGTTCAGGGAAGTTAAGTTTCCCATAGTCACACATGTAGGAAATTTAAGACCCAGAATTTGAACCCCAGCAGTATGGTCTAAAAGTTATGCCTTTAACTGTTATGCTGTAGTGTCTCTTCCATACTAGCATTAAAAAATTAGAAGACCTAGAAAGTAGACAGGATTTTTAATTTATACAGTAAATATTTACATACCTTGCACTATCAGCTCGGCTTGAGCTTCAATCGTCTCATTTTGATTTTCAGCTATACAAAAATAAGTCCCAGCATCATCCTCAGTGACATCACTGATCTCCAGGCTACCACCTGCCAGCAATACTAATCTTTCAGAGCTGCATTAAAAAAATAATTGTTACATTTTATTAACAAGGAAGTAGCTGAGAAACTCTCCACATAAAACAGAAAAATCACTTAAATGGTATGATATTTATATGGCTACCGAGAGAGACTAACATAAAATTATTAGACTTAATTTAGCCTAATTTGCTTTACTCATATTTTACATGCATAAATACCACAAATACAAATCAAATATTACAATAAATTTTCTCTGACACTTTTTAGTTATTCCTAACAGGCTATCATTTTTGCAACCAATTCCACTTCCCCTAGCCCATCTTTATTTCCCTAACTCTGGCCAATATTTTTGCAAACGATATAACTTTGAAGTCTGGAATCAATCTGACAATCACTCCACCATGTCTATGCCACACTGAGATTACTAACAGAATGAAAACATAAAGAGGGAAAAATATCAGATCAGAAGTCATAGGGTCACAGTGCCTACTAAAAGTTTCCTGTGGTGGTTTGGCTAGGTGAGGGAGGAAAAGAGGAAAGGAAGGTAGAGAGGACAGTGGCCAGATGGCAGCTCCCTGGGTGTGGTAGCTGGGCACATATCAACCACTATCATGCCATTATCAACAAGGATGTTGATTAATACTGGCCCAACTCATGACAGTCTTGGCTCCCTATCCAGCCTCTGACATCATTTAGCAGGGATGCCAAGGCACCTCATTAAAACCTGGCCAGGGTGGAAGTCTAGGCTCCCCATTTGATCTGTGACTGGCATGGCAGTGGTGGGGCTGGAGCTTCTTCTGTGGTATCTGAATGGACAGAGAAACTGCAGTCTAACAGTTTTCATCTTGCTTATTTATCTCTTTCCTGATCCTTTGGCTGGAGAGAGCATACTTCTATTAGGGCTTTTTCTATATGTTTCTATTAGGGTGTTTCCAGATTGCTTGGCTTCTTATCTTCAACCCTGGGATATATGAGACAAAAATAGAACCCAAGAAACTCACCATCATGTTGTTTCTTGGATCCCAAAGTCTCCAGCCAATCAATCTTCCTTGTTCCACCTTTCAGTATTGTGTTTGTTTTATATGTAATGTCCAGGGTTTTTAGTTGGAGTTAGTGAAAGAAATAGGGAAAAATATATCTAGTACATCTTCCCAGAAGTGGAAGTCCTTGATTTGTTTTGTTAAGTAACCTAGTTTTCCTACCACCATCAATTGTAATAATATCAAGCATTTTTTTTTATAACTATAACCTGTTTCTTTGCAGCTGGTTTTGGAGCTATTTTTCCACTAAAACATAATATTATTTGATTATTAAATTATATTTTGCTGTCAGTCACTTTGAACATTAGCATTTGTATTTTCTGGATTCTCTCCCTTTAAAATAGAACTACTCAATAAATGGGATCCATTTCAGCCTCCCTCTTTCATTAGCTATATTTATTTTGGATCCGAATAAATTTGGTTAAAATAATAAACATATCTATTCTCAGGTATTTATTTTAAAAAAGCCATGGCAATGTTTTAAAATATTCATTTTCAAAGAAGTGTTTCTAATTATCTAAGATCATTTTTCACTAAAGCCAGCCAAACATTACCTGGATTTCTAGCCACTTTTTTCTTTTAATTTCTAAATGTCTAATTTGGAGTCTAAATAATTTATCAGCTAAGGTCCATCTATGTATCTCCTAAGGCTCTAGCAGAAACAAATATATTTTAATTACAGAGATCCAACCTGAGCTTTATTCACCTACTAATATTTTCCTACATTACATTCGGTAATTAATTCAACTCGTCACTACTCTCCCTCTCCCCAGTTATTTGCCAAACACCATGCAAGAGTCTAGAGAGACCAACGTGAACAACACCAACACCGGCCTGCTCTTATATTCTTTTGAAGCTTCTAGAGGTAGCGACAAACTATGGCGGTACTTCTCATATTTTTCTACCACATAATCTGAGTATTCAGAAGCCTAGGGAACCAGAGGCAATAAAAAGTGTACTCAAAGTCTACTGAGTTCATTCTTAAAATGCAGAGGAATATTACTAACCATAATATATCTACATTTAAATTAATTAAAAACCAGTTGCTCTCAAAAATATCTCTGAATGAAACTGGATGTTCCAGGAAGATCCTACCATGATTCGTTTACCCTGGCCCACTCTGACCATCACTCTACTAAGACAAAATTCTCTAACACCCTGGCATACTCTGTATTGAGTTTCTTCAGAGCACTTACCATAACCTGACATTTTGTATGTTTACCTGATTATGAGTTTGACTCTTTTCCACAAGAACATATGCTCTACAGGAGGAAGAACTCTATTTGGTTTACTACTCTATTTCCAGTACCCAGAACAGTGTCTCACGGAGTTAGCACTCAATAAATAGTTGCTACATAATTACTGAACCAATGAGAATCATAGAAATCCTCACATTTCTTATAAAAAATCATCTTATCTACATCTATTTTATATCTTCAGGATGTCTTTTTATGATGACAAAATACAAACGTTTAAAAATAACCTCTTTCAGCTTTCCTCCTCCTGATAAAGATTTTATTCTATTTAACATCTAGCCAAGTAAAATTTCTGGTGTAAGAGCTTAAAATTTTTATGCCTTATTTTAAGGTTTGCTATATTTCAGTTAGCAAAATTTTTTAAAAATCCCTTGAAGTCTTATAAATTTTTACATAATATTTAGATGGGAAGAAAAATAGAAAAAAAGGAGGGGGAGCAAAATATGGGCAGTTGATGGATAAATGGGTATTAAAAAAGAAATCAGGCCAGGCGCAGTGGTTCATACCTGTAATTCTAACATTGTAGTAGGTCAAGGCGGGAGGACCACTTGAGCTCAGGAGTTCAAGACCAATTTGAGCAAGTGTGAGACCCCCATCTCTACTAAAAATAGAAAAAAAAAATTGGCCAGTCCTTGTGGCAGGTGCCTGTAGTCCCACCTCAAAAGGCTGAGGCAAGAAGATCACTTGAACCCAGAGCCTGAGGTTGCTATGAGATATGATGATGGCACTGGATTCTAGCCTGGGCAACAGAGAAAGACCCTGTGTCAAAAACAAAACAAACTGAGAAGGGGAGGAGAGTGGAGGATAGTGGAGAGGAGCAGAGGGGAGGAGAAGAAAAGGAAAGTGCAGAAGGAAGAAAGAAATTAAGTAATATTGGAGATGATGCCATTAGTTTTTCTAATCGAATATAAGAGGAACAATCCGATTCTATTCCATCATTCCCACTGATCACAGAAGGCTGAACATCCATGTCTTGGCTACTAAACTATACCAATTAAGATTATTATCTCATTTTTGATTACTCAGCTGGGAAACTCTAGACCTGCTCTATCCAAATAAATAGCCACTAGCCACATATGGCTATTAATACTTGAAATGTGGCTCATAAGACTATAAAACAAAATTTTTTTTTCTTTTATTTAATTTTAATTTTAATGTATGAGCTGAAGTAGTATGAAATATTTTTTACTAAACATAAACTTTATAGTTTGGGTTAGAACCTCATTTCACTTTAACTAGTATTATTTTAACAGTAATAAAATATTACTGTTGCATTTAGTAGTACACATGTACTTCTCACTTTTTTTTAACGTGGCTACCAGACTTTTGGAGGGGTGAAGTAGAAAGGGCCAGAGTCTCACTCTGTTGCCCCAGCTAGAGTGAAGTAGTGTTATCATAGCTCAAATCACTGCAATCTCAAACTCCTGGGCTCAAAAGATCCTCCTGCCTCAGCCTCCCAAGGAGCTGGAACTACAGATCCTTACCTTTATACCCAGTTAATTTTTTCTATTTTTTAGAACGATGGACTCTCCCTATTGCTCAGGCTGGTCTTGAACTCCTGGTCTCAAGCAATCTTCCCACTTTGGCCTCCAAGAGTGTTAGGATTATAGGCATGGGCCACCACGCCCTGCCCTAGACAATTTTAAATTACATGTGCAGGATCCATTACCTAAACAGCACTGCTCTAGAACAGCGGTCCTCAGCTGGGGGCAATGGTGCCCAGGGACATCTGGCAATATCTAGAGGCATTTTTGGTTGTTACAACTTAGAAGTTCTACTAGCTTCTACTGGGTAGAGGCCAGGGATGCTAGTAAACATTCTATAGTAATAGAACCTATAATATGCAAGATGCTTTGTTTTGGATACCAAACCATACCTAACTACCACCACCTGTTCTCTTCTGAGAATACAACTGAGAAAGGCACCCATTACATGGTAGTAACGAGAGGAGGTAGGAGGGATAATAGAGTATTTGGTGTTTGTGGAAGATAAAGAATTTGTGATCATACAGAGATGTATTTTAAAAGACAAAAACAAAAGGATGAAGACTACAGTTTCTTATACTGTTTGGGCAAAGGAAAAAAACTATCAATAAAATGCAGATGAGGGTGAGAATGAGTGACAGAACTCAGGCTAGTCAGGATAGGAAGCTCTTGCAAAAATTTGGGGTAGGAGATCCGAAAGCCTTTAGCTAAGCATAATGCAGCTTCAGAAAGAACTAGCAGAGTATTTACCCCTTAATATTTTGAAAGCACTTTTTTCTTTAAACATGCTAATCATACATAGCATTTATAAAATGTATTTCAAGGATGACATATGAGCAGTATGATGTGTTTAAATAAACTGGATAATCAGTTTTTATCAATGGTCTGGAGCTCGGCTGAGAAGGGCTTTGGGGCAGACAGCACTCACCTCTCTGTGTCAAGCGCCTCCTCGTTTTTCACCCATCTAATGGCTGGGGTGGGAAGCCCAGCAGCAACACATGGCAGCACTGTGCTCTGACCGACCACTCTCACTAAGGAAGAAGGCTGCTTCAAAAACACCAAGTTGGAAGTCTCCTCGGGATCTAAACAAAATTTTTACATAAAAGACAATGATTAAATAAAAGGCAAGCATTTTATCATTTTAATCATGAAAAATGACTGATTCTTATTCAGTCTGTGTGGCTTTGTATGACAAAATATTTTAAGCAAAAATGACATAAAAATTTCCATTAAAATGAACAAATACTTATTAAATAAATTCTGTGCGCAAAAACATTGAGCTAGGCTCTTCTGTGGTCCTACAAGTTATAGCTCCTGCCTTTAAGGTACACACTGTCAACTGGGGGAGATTTGACATGAAGCCCCTTTATTTTAAAAGGTAACATAAATGCCACATGAAAGATGCAAATAGCAGAGACCAAGCAAGCCCAGGAACCTTGGCATCCTCCCTATTCATAGGGATTTAAGAAATTTCTTTTACTTCCTGAATTTCTGAAAATTTCTGAAATTTCAGATTCTGAAAATCTGAATTTCACCTCTTTAGATCTGCTCACTTGTCTGTCAATTTCGTAATGGAGGAGTCATCTAGCTACCACTGTATTTGTGTTCCTCTTATGCAGGCATCAGAATTAATGCATGTTCACTTCACCCAGCTGGCCTCTTATGGACATAGAGGCCACACTCCTGTAGGTAGAAGACAAGAGTTCTCCACTTACTAGGGTCATATTAACTTAATGTTGAGTTTTGTGAAAAAAGTTCTCAGTTAGAGAAACGTTAACTTCTTTTCCTACAATTTTTGGAAAAGATCTTCTACAGCCATCGTTAACAACTTCCAGAACTAGCTTTAAACTTGTCTAAGTAACGACAGTCCTCTCTCCATGGTAACAAGCAAACATTGCCTGACAGATTAGTGGTGACTCATGTCAGTGTGCGTGCCTTTCAAAACCAAGCAATGAGTGACAAGCTCAGGTTTTAGAAGTCACCTGACTAACGGCGGAGTCACTTGCTTCTAAGGCTGATGATAACCAGCTCCAACCTCTGTCACCAATCACAAGACACGTTTCTATAACTGACATCAATCCACCTCTTCCTCCTAAACAATATAACCTAAACAATGTCTTCTCAAAAGCCCTATAGCAGATCAGCAGTTGGCTTTGCTCAAGAACACGATGTTTGACAACTGCAGCTCTCCCTTACTTTAAGTAATCAAAGCATTCAGCATTGTTTTTGTTTCAGATACTGAGCTGTTACCTCATCCTTTCACACTATAAACCTTGTTTCCTTGGATAAGCTTTTGAGGATTTGCTTGAATGCCACCCCTGGTGTAGAGAAAAAAATATTATCTCTGTCATGTAAAAGCAAGTCAGGAAGTAGGATGAAAGACATTAGTATATGACAATAGTTCTTAAAATTTGTTTGATATATTTTAACTCATTATATCCAAAATATTATCATTTCATCTTGTAACCCCTAACAAAATTATTGATATTTTACATTCTATTTTTCATACCAAATCTTAAAAGCCCAGGGAATATTTTATTTTTTTACCACTTAAAAGTTTTCTTTTTAAAATTTTTAACTACTATGGGTACATAATATTTACACATATTTATATGGTATTTGGAATATTTTAATATAGGCATATAATGTATAATAATCAAATCAAACTAGGGTTCAACCACCTCAAATATTTATCATCTCTGGGTTAGAGAACATTCTAATTCTTCTCTTTAAAGTATGCCACAGCTTATTTTTAACTATAGTCATCTTGTTGGCTATCAAATGGTATTCATTCTGCCTAACTATATTTTTGCACTCATTAACCAACAGTTCTTTTTTAAAATTCACCTTGAATTACTTAGGTGTATGTAACTGAATTTTGAGAGAATCAATTAAACAAGTAAGTAATTAATACTATATGCATTGATTGGCTTCTACATGCCAGGAATCATTTTTAGCAGCGAACCAAACTCCCTGCTCCCTAGTAAGGGGAGGGAGAAAACAAATAAAATATACCAGATATGTTCAAAGTAAAATGGAGGAGGAAAGAGAAAATGTCAGGGTGTAAATGAAAGATTGTTGTTTTAAACAGTGTGCAAGGAAGGCTTCACTGATAAAATGATACTTGTGCAGAGGGAGTAAGCCAGGCAAATAAATGAGAGAAGAAGATTCTAGGCAGAGTAGAAAGGCTCTAAACTCTGCTAAAGCTGATTAACAGCTTATGGCCTTTGATCTAGTGAATGTCTTCTTTTCAATCTCTATTAAGAAGTGGGATCAGAAAAAAACTTCATTCACTTTAGATGAATAAGAATATACATTTGGGGCCAGGTGCAGCGGCTCACACCTGTAAACTTAGCACTCTGGGAGGCCAAGGCAGAAGGATTGCTTGAGGTCAGGAATTAGAGACTAGCCAGAACAACAAGACCCCTTTTCTACCAAAAATAGGAAAAATTAGCTGAGCATGGTGGCACATGCCCGTAGTCCTGGCTGAAGTGCGTTCTAGAAGTGTGATAATGTGGTCACAATCACAGAGGAAAGGAGAGAAAAAGTCTGAAATGGGAAAGGAGAAGCAAGGGAGGAAAACAGTATTAAGATTATATAAAGTAGGGCAGGGATGGTGGCTCATGGCTGTAATCTCAGCACTTTCGAAGGCCAGGGCAGGAAGACTGCTTGAGGCCAGAAGTTCAAGATCAATCTGGGCAACATAGGGAGACATTATCTTTACAAAATATAAAAAGCTGGCAGGAGAATGCCTTAAGCGTAGGAGTTGGGGGCTGCAGTGAGTTATGATCATGCTACTGCATTCTAGCCTGAGTGACAGAGAAACAGAGCAAGACTCTTTCTCTTACAAAAACAAACCGAAGGGTGATGCCTATGGCTCAGTGAGTAGGGCACCGGCCCCATATACTGAGGATGGTGGGTTCAAATCTAGCCCCGGCCAAACTGCAAAAAAGAAAAATAGCCAGGTATTGTGGGGGTCACCTATAGTCCCAGCTACTCAGGAGGCTAAGGCAAGAGAATCACCCAAGCCCAAGAGCTGGAGGTTGCTGTGAGCTATAATGCCACGGCATTCTACCAAGGGTGATAAAGTGAGACTCTGTCTCTAAAAAACAAAACAAAACAAAAAAGGAATTATATAAAGCCTAACAGGCCAAGAACTTTAACTCTGAAAGACATGGAAAATAGTGAGACTCTGTCTCTAAAAAACAAAAAAACAAAAAACAAAAAAAAAAGGAATTATATAAAGCCTAATAGGCCAAGAACTTTAACTCTGAAAGACATAGAAAATCACTAAGAGTTTTGAGTAAAGACATAACAAGATCTAATATACATTTTAAAAGACACTGTGGGAAAAAAAAAAAAAAGATACTAGCTACATTGGGACAGGAATGATAGGAGCAAAAATGATGGCAACAAAAACCAGAAGATGCACTTTTTAAAAAATCAGTTCAAGGCCTATCAGGAACACCCTCAGGAGTTGCAGCACATTTGCAAGGCAGTCCATAGGTTTAAAAAAAAGACAACTTTAACATGCGGTTTTCTAGGTCTACTAGCACCATTTATTGAATAGGGATTCTTTTCCCCAATGTATGTTGTTGTTTGGTTTATTGAAGATTAGATGGCTGTAAGATGTTAGTTTTATTTCATGGCTTTCTATTCTGTTCCAGATATGTCTCTATTTTTGTGACAATACCATACTGTTTTGATCACTATGGCCTTGTAGTATATAGCCTAAAGTCTGGTAGGCTGATGTCCCTGGCTTTGTTTTTATTATTAAGAATTGCCTTGGCTATACAGGGTTTTTTCTGGTTACATACAAAATGAAGAATTATTTTTTCTAAGTCTTGAAAGTATGATGTTGGTATTTTAATGGAGATCGCATTGAATATGTAGATTACTTTGGGAAGTACAGACATTTTAACAATGTTGATTCTTCCCAGCCATTAGCATGGTATGTTCTTCCATTTGTTAGTATCTTCTGCTATTTCTGTTCTTAGCGTTTTGTAACTTTCTTTATAGAGGTCCTTTACTTCTTTTGTTAGGTATATTCCTAAGTATTTCATTTTCTTTGAAGCAAACGTGAAGGAAATTGTGTCCCTGATTAGCTTGTCATCTTGGTTCTTATTGGCATATACAAAGGCTTCTGATTTGTGGACACTGATTTTATATCCTGAGACACTACTGTATTTCTGATCACTTCCAGGAGTCTTGTGGTTGAGTCTTTGGGGTTCTCTAAGTATTATTGTCAGCAAAGAGGGAGAGGTTATGTCCTCTGCCCCCCATTTGGATGCCCTTTATTTCCTTCTCTTGACTGATTGTATTGGTTAGAACTTCCAGCAATATGTTGAATACTAGTGGCAATAGAGGACAGCCTTGTCTGGTTCCAGTTCTAAGTATAAAAGCTTTCAGTTTTACTCCATTCAGCATAATATTAGCTGTGGGTTTGTTACAGATGGCTTCAATCAGTTTAAGAAATGTGCCACCTATGCCTATTTTCTGCAGAGTTCTAATTAGAAAAGGATACTAAATTTTATTGAATACTTTTTCTGCATCTATTGAGAAGATCATACAGTCTTTGTTTTTGCTTCTTTTGATATGGTGAATTAGGTTTATGGATTTGCATATGTTAAACCAGCCTTGCATCCCTGGGATTAAACCTACCTAATCATGATGAATGATTTTTTTAATGTGTAGCTACAATTTATTGGCTAGGATTTTATTGAGAATTTTTGCATCTATATTCATTAGTAAAATTGGTCTGATATTCTCCTTTTTAGTTGGGTCTTTTAATGGTTTTGGTGTCAGGGTGATGTTTGCTTCAGAGAACATGTTGGGGAAGATTCCTTCCTTCTCAATTTTTTGGAATTATTTCTGCAATATGGGTATAAGTTCTTCTTTGAAGTTTTGATAAAATTCTGGTGTGAAGCCATCTGAACCAGGGCTTCTTTTTTATTGGGAGATTTTGTATTGTTTCTTTGATCTCAGTTCTTGAAATTGATCTGTTCAAGAGATCTATTTCTTCTTGATTAAGTCAAGGGAGAGGGTATGATTCTAGGTATTGATCCATTTCCTCCACATTATCAAATTTCTGGGCATAGAGTTTCTTGTAGTACTCAGAGATGATCTCTTGTATCTCTGCGACATCTGTTGTTATTTCTCCTTTATCATTTCTGATTGAGACTGAAACTAGACCCACACCTTTCTCCACTCACTAAAATTGATTCAAGATGGATAAAAGATCTAAATCTAAGGCATGAAACAATAAAAGTCCTCAAAGAAACTGTGGGGAAAACATCTGAAGTTATCACACTGGGGAAAGACTTTATGAAGACGACTTCTGTGGCAATTGCAACAACAACAAAAATAAACATATGGGACTTAATTAAATTGAATAGCTTCTGTACAGCTAAGGAGATAACAACCAAAGCCAACAGATAATCATCAGAATGGGAAAAGGTATCTGCATATTATGAATCAGACAAAAGCTTGATAACTAGGATTTACAGAGAACTCAAATTAATCAACATTTAAAAAGCCAACAATCCCTTATATCAATGGGCTAGAGAGATGACTAGAACCTTCTCTAAAGAAGATAGATGAATGACTAACAAACATGAAAAAATGCTCATCATCCCTAATTATCAGAGAAATGCAAATTAAAACCACCCTAAGTTATCACGAACCCCAGTGAGAATGGCCCACATCACAAAATCCCAAAGCTGCAGATGCTGGTATGAATGTGGAGAGAAGGGAACACTTTTACACTGCTGGTGGAACTGCAAACTAATACAACCCTTTTGGAAGGAAGTATGGAGAATCCTCAAAGAACTCAAACTAGACCTCCCATTAAATCCTATAATTCCATTACTGGGCATCTACCCAGAAGAAAAAAAAATCATTTTATCATAAAGATATTTGCACTACACTGTTTACTGCAGTTCAATTTACAATTGCCAAACTGTGAAACAACCTAAATGCCTACCAATCCAGGAATGGATTAATAAGCTATGGCATACGTATACTATGGAATACTATTTAGCCACCAAAAACAATAAAGACTTTACATCTTTCGTATAAACCTGGATGGAGGACAAACACATTATTCTTAGTAAAGCATCACAAGAATGGAGAAGCAAGAATCCAATATACTCAATTCTGATATGAGGACAATTGATGACACAGTACATGGTGGGGGGGAGCGAAGAGAAGGAAGGAGGTTGGGGGCTAGAGGGTCATGGGCATGGGACACACATCTTAGAGGCAGGACACAATTATAAGAGAGACTTTACCTAACAAATGCAATCAGTATAATCTGGTTCTCTGTACACTCAATGAATCCTCAACAATAAAAAAGAAAAGGGAAAGAAAAGCCCATGAAGAAGTCATATATAAAAACTTTGCCCAAACAATGGAGAGATGACCCGGTTAAACTCAAACATGAAACAAGAACTTTGGAAAGAATCAGGCACCTAGCAGTGAGAACAGAAGGTGAAAATCAGGACACATCCAAAGGCTAGAGGGACTATGATGAGCTGCAAGTGAGAAGAATCATAAGTAAGAAATTACACAGTGAGAAGAGATTTACAAAACTGATTATGAGAAAAGCCAGTAGGGACAGAAAGCATGAGAAGACACACAAAAAGAAGGAAAGACTGAAACAGGAGCTAAGTTCATGGTAAAATGGAGTACGCAATAAAGATTCAAGAATTCTTGATTGCCAGTTCTAGAGCCATTATATTTTAAGTCACCACCCCACCCATCCCTTACATGAACTGGCCTCAGTGAGTCACTAACTGCTCAAGTAAAAAGACCTAACTATAAAACTACCCTATTGTAGGGAGGAGGCTTGACAAAAGACACAGAGCTTTAACCAAGAAGAATGCCATCAGACACTGAAAACACTTTACTGCTTGATAAAATTCTAACAATGTATTTTATTCACTAGAAAGTGGATCTTTCTGGCATATTTTCTCCTTTTTACTCCTGTAAGAAACTGGGGCTCCTTATGCTGACAATAATATGTTATACCACATATTAACAATGTTTACTAAAAATATTCTAACAGAATAATTTTACCCATTAATAAACATAAAACCATTATTCTGATAATAAATGAATACCTTGAAGAACCTTCAATTCAGCTTCATCACTATACTTTGGTGGCCCACCACTTTCAATTACACAGCGATAAAGTCCCCCATCTCCTTCAGTCACGTTGCTGATAACCAGTGTTCCACTCGGAAGTTTGACAATTCTATCATCCAGTAGAAGGGGCTGTCTGTTCTGTTCCCACCTCACAAATGGGACCAAATCCGCATTAACTTCACAATTCAGAATTGCACTATTCCCAGCATAAACTGAGGAAGGTTCTGGTTGGCTGGTAAATCTTGGAAGACCTGGACAATAAAGGAAAAAAAAAAAAGAAATAAAATGTAATTAAATATTATTTAAAAATGTATTCATAGAGATCAAGAGCAAGTCATCCTATGTGTCCACAATCGCTGGTAGAATCAAGGTCTCAGGTAGGAAGGTCCAGGGGTAGGAAACTGCTATCTACAGGATACAGAACAAATGAGTAAATATAATAAGATTAAATGGAGTCAGATTCCTCACAGCTGGAGAGGCAAGGTACAAATACAGAAAAAGAGAAGGGTAGAATAAATTCTATGGTATCAGTTTAGAATAGAGGGATCAGTGTCAACTGTATGATTTCATATAATTAAAGGTATAAAACTATACAGTGATATCAATGTAATAGAAAAGTGTATGTGAAATATGTATACATTTTATATACAGTCACTACATACACACTAATTAATACACCGATATACATACACACACCTGTATATTTCTCAGCCCTGTCCATAGGGGAAGGGCCAGCATCAAGGGCATCCCAGTAGCAATGAGTAAATACGGTCACCCTATCTTGATTTCTAAATATTATTCTCCACTACAAGGGACCAGTGCTTCTTGGAGAAATGACTGATCTAGGAATGGAGTAGGGAAAGTACAAGATCAATCTGGAACATCTTATAACATAAATAACTGTAAAAAGAACAATGTGGGCATATCAAAAGGACAGGGAAGTCAGATTAAAGGGAGTTTCCTCTGACTAAATCTGGGATAATGGTATCAAGGCATTATAACCCACAGAATTAAATAAGAATGTATGAGTTCATGTGAATATAAACAAACAAGTAAGTGGAGGAGAAAGAACAGATCTACCTTACAGAAATGAGGGAACTAGAAAAATCACCACCTGGCAACCATGGCAGGAATAATTGACACAAGTAAGATTCCTCAATGGATGCTAAAACCAGGAGATGAAAATCTGACGAGAAACAATATATTTACAGAGTATTAAAGTATCGCTTCTCAAAATACTTATAAATAATTTAAAAAAGTAAAAATACTTAACTTTACAATGAAGAACATAGCACAGACCACCTTAACCAAGCAATAAAAGTCAACATCACCAGTAACAGAACAAAGTATCACAAGCTGCCAGGCATGAGGCACTGAGAACACAGCGTTACTTCTGGGTTTTCCTCCCCAAAGGGCAAACTCTGAATCTAGTCATTGAGGGAAATCAAACAAATCTAAAATGAGACAAGAAAAAACTGCGGACCTAGCCCACGTCAAATGAGCCTACGGAGACATAACTATTAAGTCACATGTAATCCCGGACCAGAAAGGAACACGGTGGGAGAAGTTTTTGCTTTTGTCTTTTGCCATAAAGAATATTACTGAGACAACCTGTGAATTATTTATTAAGTAACAGTATCATATTAATTTCCTGTTTTTGATGAATGTCTATGATTATTTAGGAGAATGTCACTGTTTTTAAAAATATATACACTGACATATTTAGGTAGGGGATTATACAGCAACATGTCTGGAACTTACTCTTAATGGTTTAGGAAAAGCTATCTGGGTGTATGCATATTTAGGGAGATGATAATGCAGATGTGGTAAAATGTTAATAACTGGGTGATCTGGGTGAAGGTTACCAGATTTCTTGGCTCTATTCTTGCAACTATTCCCTAAGTTTGAAATTATTTCAAAAAAAATGTTAATAAAAAAAATACTGTCATAAATATGTCATTAGATGCCAGAGAATGTAGTGGCTAACTGCATCTGTTGTCAAGTCACATACCAGAATTTGAGTATCAATTCCACAACTGCATGTATGTACACAGTTAGCAAGTTACTTAACCTTTCTTTAAGTCTCTCATCAGCAAAAGGAGAATAACAAGCCCCATAGTATTTTTAAAAAAAATTAAATACTTTACAAAAAAGTAAGTACTTAACATATAGCATATGTCTGGTGCATAAATATTCAACTATCACTAAAAAGTGATTCTGCTATGCTCAAAACATAACAAAATGTATCTTTAAGATAAGCCAATAAATTATGAGAAACAATTCCAGGTTTTTTTAGTTTTATGATGGTGAAATTAGTTCAAATATAAACTGCACAGCTTTTCTGACACTACTACAAATTCCTTATTTTTTATTTTGAGAGAATTTTTGAAGGAAAGAAATACAGATAAAATTATTATTATTTTTTTTTTTTTTTTGAGATAGAGTTTTAATTTGTCACCCTGGGTAGAGCGCCATGGTGTCATAGCTCACAGCAATCTCACAGTCCTGGGCTCAAGTGATCCTCTTGTCTCAGCCTCTTGAGCAGCTGGACTATAAGTGCCTGTCATAACACCCGGCTATTTTTAGAGACAGGGTCTTGCTCTTGCTCAGGCTGGTCTTGAACTCCTGAGCACAAACAATTTGCCCATCTCAGCCTCCTCAAGTGCTACGATTACAAGCACCCAGCAACCCTTAAAAGATCTACTTTTAAGAAATCAGAAAGTTAGAAGGAATTAATAAAAATAAACTAATCAAACTGGGAGGGAAATATTAATAAATGAAGCCAAGAAATTGATTTTTTTAAAGAAAATCAAAAAATTCCTCCTCCTCAGGTCTCATGAAAATGTGTAATTTTTAAAAATGTAAAACCACAACATATGGGGAATTGGCAGACGGGAGTTCAAGAAGTTTCTGCATGGGGAAAGCAGATGGGAAGAACTAGTAACTGACATGTTAAGGCAGAGAAGGCTGCAGCTTCCTGTGCTCCCCGGAGAAGAGCAGGAGAAAACCAAGAGGAGTCAGCTCTGGGTTGACAAGAAGGGATTAGCAATGTCTGCTTTTAGACCACCCCATTCCTCCCACCTTTGGGCACAAAATACTCACATCTAGGCTATTGCCCAGACCATGGAGAAATAAAATAGCCCAGAAAAAAAGACTTCTCATGTTTAACTCTGTCAAACATCTTTCAAAGACTTCCCTTCTTGCTTAACTTAGCTAGAATGGCAACTGGCATAATCTTTTTTTTTTTAAGGTTTTATCAAGATATAATTTATATACCATAAGTTCACCACTTAAGTACAAAATTCAATCATTTTCAGTATATTAACAGAATTGGGCAACCATCACCTTTTCATCACTTCCAGAAGCTATCTTATACTCACTCACAGGCATTCCCTGTCCCACTCCCCTTCCCTTATTCCCCCATCCCTCCCCCCTCACTATCCCAGGGTCCTTACTCCTAGAAAACCACTAATCTGCCTTCTGTCTCTATAGATTTGCCTCTTCTGGACATTTCATATATATGAAATCAGACAACATTTGGTTCTTTGCGACTGGCTTCTTTACCTTGGCTTACTATGCTTATAGTTCATCCACAACATAATATAGATAAGGCCTTCATTTCTTTTGTCAAATGATATTTTATCATAGGAATGTGCCACATATTGGATATTCATTCAACATGTGATAAACATTTGTTGTTCCCATTTTTTAGGCTATTATGAATAATGCTGCTATTAACAGTCATATACACATTCTTGTATGGATATATCTTTTTATTTCTCTTGGATAGATACCTAGGAGTGAAATTTCTAAGTCATATGGTAGCTTTACAGGTAACATTTTCAAAAACTGACAAACTGGTATCTTTTTAAATTATATGCACACATACAATTCCCCCCTATGATTCAGCAATCCCAATTCTAATAATCTATTCTACAGAAATAAAGATTTGCAAAAGGAGTTCACCGAAGTACTTCCTGTAACATCCAATAATTTTAATCCACATAATTATTTGCCAAAGAAGAGAATCTTTAAAGAAATCACAGTGTGTTATTATCTATACAATGAGACTATGCAACTATTAAAAACAACTTCTGGCTCGGTACCGGCAGTTCAAGAGGCTAAGGCGCCAGCCACATACACCAGAGTTGGCAGGTTCGAATCCAGCCCACGCCTGCCAAACAACGACAACTACAACCAAAAAATAGCCGGGGATTGTAGTGGACACCTGTAGTCCCAGCTACTTGGGAGGCTGAGGCAAGGCAACAGCCTGAGGCTCTGTCTCAAAAACAAACAAACAAACAAAAACCTTCTGTTTACCCCTTAATTTAGATGCTATTTCTTTTTGATACCTAGGCCAAGAGTGGGTTCAACTACTCTCCTCTAGAATCCTGCAGTCACCAGAGAGTATACCACCTTGTGTTAAAACTGCTTGCTTAGATATTAGGGTAAAATATGCTTCTTGAAGGGAATGGAAGTTGATGAAAGATGGACAAATCTAGTAGAGGGGAAGAGAGAAAAAAGTGTTGGAAAAACCGGGAAAAGTTGTGAACAATTGCCAAAAGGCAAAGAGTAAATAAAAAGGAGCACAGAACACTTAGTACTGCCAGTGATTAAACTGTGGTGAGGGTGGCGATGGCTGCAGAGGCCGGGGCAGAGGCAGGCTGGAATGAGCCTGGATAAGTGCAGGGCAACTTGGAAAAGGAATCAAGAGGCCTATTACCTATAAAGAGGGTTGAAACTAACTCGAGGATATTACTAGAAAACCACAGAAGAGTGAGAAATAATACTAACCCCAGTGTAGAGACTGGATTGGAGGAGGGAGAGAATACAGTAACAGATCAATAGTTACAAGGCTTTGGGGAGGGAAGACAAGGAGCAGTCTGGAAGGGCAAAGTGGATAAAATACAGGGAAATGAGGAAGCAGAATTCATCGGATTTGGTGGTGGGAGAGGAGGGAAAAGCTGAAAAGAAAGTCACAAATAAAGCCCAAGTAAGAGATACTTAAGAACATAAATGACAAACAGAAGATGACCTAAATGACATTGGTAGAGGCAGTGTTACACCAATTAATTCATCAAGTATGTGAGGAAAGTCTGAAAAATAGTTTTTAATAAAGAAGAAAAAAGAGAGAAAACTGCCAAAAGAAGCAATTTTTTCCTTTTATTTTCCCATCTTTAATCTGTGGTTATGAAATAATTACAGGGGCTATATGTCATACCCAATCAACTTTGAGTATTTGGCCCCAAGAAGAAAAACAGCCATCACATTCTGAATCAATGAGCAAATACACCCTAGGTGAGCATGAGATGTGAGACCACAACCTGCCACAGATGAAGGGATGCTACTGTCTCAGTGAGATTTTGTCCAACTGGTGAGGTTTCACCAATGTGAGAGTAAATACAGGATTTAAAGATGACACCATTTTTGTACAATGTAATTCTTCCCAAAAACTATTTCACCTGGTTTCAAGTGAAGAAACACTATGCTGGTATCTACTACAAAACAGGCGTGACTTAGTTAGAAACCACATCTACTCTTCTAGGTCCTTACTCTGAAATGGAATAAATGTTCTTCTCTTTACAACTTTCTGCTCTCCATCTAAAGATATATATATATATTCAACAGATTTTAAAATAATTAATCCAATTAAATGCCATTCCCTTGGTTAAGGTATAAAGGAACCAGGATTCTGGCTTTTACTGTAAAACTTACAGTAAATTATACTAAATGCTTACACTGAGAAGAATAAGTTATCAAAGTGATTCATAATTTCTTCTGCCATTTCCAAGTTAAAAAGAAAAAAAGAACTGCTCAGTACTTCTGAGAACAACTTTAAGTCTTTCTAGATAAGTGAAAGAGTGCTACAGTTTATTCCCTATAGCGCTGAGCAAGCCTTAGTACAGTCCCCAGACACATAATATCTGCACAGTATCTGCTAAATGAGTATCTGTTGTTACCAATTCAATGAAAACTGTAGGATAATACTGCTTTTATCAAGATTTACTCTTTTTAAAAATCTGAAAATACAAATAAATCATTTGCCAAAACTTACCTGCTACTGTGAGCTTGGCTGTTCGGCTGATAATAGTTCCAAGGCTCTCGACAGTGGCCACACACTGATAATAACCTTCATCGGGTTTATTATGTTTGGAATGCACAACACTGCTAATAGATAAAGACCCATCTGGGAGAAGCTGACGTCGATCATCTGATACTAAGTTTAAAAAAGTTCCATCTTTTTTCCATTCAATTTTTGGAGAAGGCTCAGAATATGCTGAACAGTTTAGTATAACAGAGGAGCCTCTAACTGAGAGCGTATCCACTGGCTCCACCAGAAAATAAAATGGAGTGAAGGTTTGGATGCTGGCTCCTAAAAAAATAAAGACAAATAACAAAGTTAAGCAAAACTTTCTTCTTCTATTTCTATAAGAAAATATAACATGTTGTCTTAAAACTATTCTTAAATGGTTATGTTCCTTGGGTTTGACACATAAAAATAGTTATCTAATAAATAAAAACTACTTTTTACCAGGAAACCAAAATTGGACCCATTTAGAAGAACATTAGGGAAAAAGTCTTTAGGAGATAATCAGGCCTTTTTATACAATGTATCTAATAAAAGTTACTTCAATGCCTACAATTAAGATTTATAAATATTTAAAATTATTGTATTCAAAGTGAAATTTTCTATAAAACTTATATAAGAGACAGAAAATTGGTTCTTTTTAAATAAGGCATCGTTTCATGCCTATTGGCTACTTGTATTGCTTTCACAGTATTTACTACACATACACTTTGTCCATTGTTCTAGTGGATTATTCACCCTATTGACTTAAAAAGCAATCTGTGGACATAGCTATCATGTTTTCTGAATATTTTTTGTTTCCATTTGAAAATCTTCATGACTTTTGCTACAAGAATATAGTACATTTTACAGTTTTTTGTGGGTTTTTTTGTCTGGGTTTGAACCGTGACAGGATTTAGGGCCAGTGCCCTACTCCTTGAGCCACAGGCACTGCCCAGAATATAATACATTTTAAACATACAATTAAATCTTAGAAAGGTCTTTATCCCAAGATTAGAAAAAATTTCAGCCTTGTTTTATTCTTTTTGTGGTTTAACTTTCTGTTTTTTTGTTGTTTTTTTTTTTTTTTTTGAGACACAGCCTCAAGCTATCCCCCTGGGTAGAGTGCCGTAGCATTACAGCTCACAGCAAACTCAAACTCCTGGGCTCAAGCGAGTCTCCTGCCTCAGCCTCCCAAGCAGCTGAGACCACAGGCACCTGCCACAACACCCAGCTATTTTTTGGTTGCAGCTGTCATTGTTGTTTTTGGCGGGCCGGGGCTGGATTCGAACCCGCCACCTTAGGTGTATGTGGCTGGCGCCTTAAGACACTTGAGCCATGGGCACTGAGCCTGGTTTAACTTTCTACATGTAATCTTTAATTCATTTTGATGTAAAAAGCACAGGAAGAATTAGCTTAATTTTTATCCAAATCCACAGCCAGTTCTTTAAATATGGGAAGAAAAAATTTAAAGAAAATATTTGCTACAAACATAATAATCTTAGAGAAAGGTTTCCAACTTTAACCTTGACCCTTTTTCTTCAAGAAAACCACTGATCAATTAATTCCCTTGTAAACAATTCAGGTTGTAATCAGCATGGGCATAATCAGAGAACCCTAGTCAAATAAAAGACACTAAGAATTTTTCAAGTATTTACATTACAAATTTAAGCATGACACTAATTCTATATCACATAACAAAAGACTGCTTCTAAAGACATATGAAACACACTGAAAAAGGAAAGGACATCCTTTTAAAAGTTTTCCAACACTTATAATAAGAAGCAAATACCAATTAATAATAATAATAAACAAATTCCAATCAGACTAATAACTCTTTCCCAGACACCACAAGGGCCTGTTAAAAAAGTGTTTCAGGTCTCTATTCCCATTTGATAACACTGAAATTCAATTTTCAAGTCTCAAAACTCTTGAAAATGAACTTAGAAATTTTTCAAAAGTAAAGTACAATTATTTTATTTCTGACTACTACTAGAATTTTTTGTATTCATTTGGAACTATATCAAATAGATCAAAATATAAACAACAGAGAAGCACAAAATGATAGCTAAATTATGAGAAATACTTTTATATCTTTCCTGTACAAGTATTAAATCTGTATCATACCATGCCAAATTTAAACAACTTGGGATCTTAAAAGATATAAATGTATTATTAGCTTGAAGATCAAAATATACTAACAATGTAAAATATTTTATTTTAGATCAGCAGTTCTCAGCATGTGGGTTGCAACCCACAGGAACTGTATTAAAGGGCCACGGCATTAGGACGGTTGAGAACCACTGTTTTAGATAATAAATAAACTTTATTTAAAACTTAGTACAAAATTTTTCCTATTTCACAAAATACAAAAAACAATTACAACTGAAATATTTCATGGTTAACATTATGTCTTGCTTTTGATTTTATTTAATTAAAAAAAAAAACATACCCCTATCAGCTAAGTTGAACAAAAAAAGTATGTATGTTCAAAATAAGAGAAAATTATACTCATAAGAAAATTTATGAACACTTTTGAAAACTCAAGGCATTTCAAAATGCTACAAAAATATTCACTCTATTTACTAAGAATACAGTATTGTTTAAATATTTATGTATGAGGTCAGACAATTAAATTCACAAATTCACCCCAGAATAAGTACTGTATACCTCAATTGCTGAATATCAGTAAGGTCACCTTCAAAGTAACCCCCTTGGGAAGCCATGCACCGATGGCACTACCTAGTCTACCCATCAAAGCCATTTTGGAACTCTTTTTCCTGGAATGACCATCAGAGCTGTCATTATACAAGGTCTGCCAATCAAGTTCACAAACTCATCCTAGAAAAAGTGCTTTGAAGGGTGAATCAGACCCTGGCATCGGTGCATACCTTCCCAAGAGGCATACTTCAAAGGTGACCATAGTGATGTTCAACAAAGAAGTGTGTAGCATTTTTTCTGGGACAAATTCATAAACTTAATTGTCCAACATCGTGTATCATCGTATATTTTACTCCCTCAGTAGGACCCCTCAAAAGCTTGCCATTGTCTTACATGATACCTAGAAGTCTAAAGAAACGACTTTGGTGGACAGCCAGGTCAGTCATCATGTGCTCTAGCCTCTGCCTATCTCCAGTTCCCCGGCATCACTCTCATCAGTCCCCAAGGCACCTGCCTCTTCACACAAGCTATTCCTACCACCATCCCTCTTTAGTCAACTCCTAGTCTTCCTTCAAAGCTCAGTTTTACCATAATTTCCCCAGAAATGTTGCCCATCCATGGTGCCCATGTAAGGGTAGCTCTCCTTGCTCTAAGCAAACACAGACACAAGTATTTACATGGCATATACTCTACCCAAAGAGCACTTCAAATGTTCTTAATCTTTAAATATTTGTAATAACTTTGGGGGAAGGGTTGAGGTTTTTTTTGTTGCTGTTTGTTTTGAGACAGTCTCATTCTGTCACCCTAAGTAGAGTGACATGGCCTCATCATAGCTCACAGCAACCTCAAACTCTTTGGCTCAAGCAATCCTCTTGCCTCAGTTTTTCTATTTTTAGTAGAGATGGGGGTCTCATTCTTGCTCAGGCTGGTCTTGAACTCCTGAACTCAAGCAATCCACCCGCCTTGGCCTCCCAGAGTGCTGGAATTACAGGCATGAGCCACGCCGCCTAGCCAACTTTTTTGTTAAGGTAGAAAGGTTCCCAAAGTTTCCTGGCTCCTCATACCCTTATTTGCTCTGTAATTTTTTTCAATAATTCCCTTGGCCAGAAGAAATACCTAACAGTTCCATTTATTTAAATAGTTAGGTTCAAACAAATGAGTAAATGTTTTTAAAAGTTAGTACCTGTTTGAAAAATAATATTTTTACTTCATTTTCTTATAAATAACCACAATTAGGTATTATGGGAATGTGTGCACCTACTGGGCACTGGATAACTGCTCAAACTTAGACACCGTGCATTTGGACGATGCCATCCACACTTCCTGCTTTACACTGATTTTGCATGGTACTTGCTTTTCAAAACAGCAACCACCAAAAGTCCAGCTTCACAAAGATACTACAGCAACAAATTGAAGGCAGTGCCAGTGAATGCTGAAGGTTTGCACGTGTCCAACAGATGTTGTTGAGTTTTGCTGCAAAGTTTGAAACAACTCTGATTTTTCTCTGAGATGCCCTAGGGCATCTCAGGATACAGTTTGGGAATCATAGGCTTAAGATCCAATCTTTCTACAGTGTTTTTATTCACCATGTTCCCAGTACCCACCTGGCAGTGGATGGTATAAATCTCTAGCTTCCACTGGTAGTAAAACCACAGGCTCCATTCTGATATTAACTATTAAAATCACCCCTCTTCCACACTAAGCGTTAATAACACATTTTTTGTAAATTCTGATAATTTTTTTTAAAAAACTATGTAGAAGAACAAAAGAGAGCCAAGAAGAGCCAAAATAATTTTATAGAACAAAGTAAAGAGACTTCACTCATCAGTTATCATTATTTATAAAGCTGAAGTAATTAAACCACTGAGGCTCTGGAGCAGGGGATAAAATGTCACCTGACAGCTAAAGAGCCACAAAATAAAGTTACACATAGTCGGACACTTAACATGCAACAGAGATGACATTTTAATTCATTTGTGGACAAGGATGAACTACTCAATAAATATTACTAGGACAATTGGTTATCTGTATGGGAGAAAAATGAGATGCCTACCTCACAACATGTAATAATAAAGATTCATGTGCTTCTCCATGCCAGACAGTGTTCTAACCATTTTCTATATATTAACCACTTAAAAAGCTTTATTACTATCTTACAAGATAGGTACAAGTATCAGCTCCATTTTAGAGATGAAAACCAAAGCACAGAAATATTAACTTATAGAAGGTCACACAGGAAGTAAATAACAGAACCAGAGTCTGAGATCTTAATCACCACACTACAATGCCACTTAATACATATATAAAAATGCAATCCATACCTATGAAAATATGTAAGTAACAAAAACTTTATAGGCCAAGTGTGGTACCTCATGCCTATAATCCCAGCATTTGGGGTACCCAAGGTGGAAAAATCACTTGAGGTCACAAGTTCAAGTACCATAGTGAGACCTTTTCTCTAAAAAAACTTTAAAAATTAGCTAGGCATGGTAGCACATGCCTGTAGTCCCAGTCACTCAGGGGAAAAGGCAAGAAGATCACTTAAGCCCAGGAGTTCAAAGTTATCTTGAGCTATGATTTTGTCACTCACTCCAACCCTGAGTGACGGAGAAAGATCCTGTCTCAAAAAAAATCACATGTAACAGAGAATTTAAAGGGTTAAACTACTCAATAGAAAAATAAGTGAGGCTATCCAATAAAAGTTGATCAAATCAAGCAGCAGGATAAGGTTGATCCAGGTAGCAAGGTGGGGTTGATCCATTGACCGTAGTCTGCTAATCCCTGCCTTAGAATATTATCCAGTGGCTGGGTGCAGTGGCTCACATCTATAATCCTAGCACTCTGGGAGGCCAAGGTGGGTGGACTGCTTGAGCCCATAAGTTTGAGACCAGCCTCAGCAAAACGAGACCCTATCTCTATTAAAAATAGAAAGAAAAAAAAAAACTGAGGCAAGAGGATCACTAGAGCCCAAGAGTTGGCAGTTGCTGTGAGCTATGATACCACGGCATGCTACCTGGGGCAACAGCTTAAGACTCTGTCTCAAAAAGAAATAAAAAACTTATCCCGCACAAAATTAGTGCGCTGTGTTTCAGTTGATGCAGAATGATTTCTGATGTAGAAAAATGGATAATACAGACAAATATAAGCTATGTAATTTCATATTATATAGAGAAGGATGTAGAAAGGTAGGAAAAGTACATACCAATTTACCACTGGTTATTAGAGGGGAAGGACTGGGAGGAAACTGGGCAGGAAGGGGAGATAAAACCCCTCAGGTGTATATAAAATAGTTCCAAGATAAAAGTCAGCTTTTCTGCCTAATCCACCCATGAACATTATGCATACATGCAGTAGATGTGGATGTGTGTTCACACTTGTGTGAATGTTAAGGGATATAATTTTTAAAGGCCCCCAAAATAGGGCTTATCTCAGGGATTTCAGTTGATTTTTTAATTTTTTTCTTTTACTTTTGTCTGAATATTTTAAATAAAAATAATTATATTTAAGCTGAAATACAGCTATTTTCATTAATAAATTCATGTACACACAGCCAGTGTGGGGGGGGGGGACATCATGAGAAGTCTGGGGTTACAGTATGACCCTGCTTGTATTAAAACACAGATACATGTACAGACCTGTGTGTGCCCACAATTAATTAGCTAACAGTGTTTTCTCCTAGGGAGAGTAGTGGGATTGAGCTGCTGTGCTGATGGCAAGTACACAGAGACAATGCTTCTTCCTCCACATAATTCTGTACTGCTACTTTTTTTTACATGAATCATATATGTATTCTTCTAGTCATTTTTTCAATAACAAAAATCTTTCTGTTGTTGTTGTTGATGATGATGATGAACAATCCTTTGCCATAAACAGAGGACTATTTTTAAAAAGATCTATCATCATTTTCTTTAAGCTTTTTTTCTTTTGTCAGATACGCACTGTTGACTTTGTATAAAAATGTCCTATTCTTACCAGGATCCTGCTTCCTCATCTACTTAAATTTGATTAATTTTAGTTTACTGTGGCCAGAGTCACTGAACAAATTATGAAATAGGCTTAATGATCCTGTCTAGTATCGGCTACATTCCCAAGTCTCTGATAACTTCTCACTTTTTAATGGAATAACTCTCACTTCTTGATAGACTATTACTCACTTTTTGATAGAAAACTTCACACTTCTTGATAGAATTCCATCTCATGAAGGGAAAATATCCACAGGGAACTTCTTTCAGTTGTAACCCACCCCATCAACAAATCATATCACTCACTGCACCCCTTAATCGTGTCGCCAATAATAATTCTAAATTTTATAGCAGCCAGAGGAAAAATTAACATATGATATCTGAATACTGGCAGAAACAAAATGCAATCTGTCCTGTTGCCTAACAAGGTTCAAAGTTTAATAGCAGAAAATGCAATGCAACACAGTAAGCAAACTTCTTCATATACCTACAAATGTAAGCATTCTATATAATGTTTATAAGAAAGTTATCTCTTCATTCTAAACTAAGAGACTACTGTCAAAGGACTTCCTGTTTCTTTTACTTCTTAATAAAATTACCTTCCACAGTTCTCATCTCGACAGTCTCTAAATCTTACATCTTATCTGTCCTGATCCTCTGTTCTCCACCAACACCATAAAGTTCCAGTTCTTTTGCTTTGGGGTTTCAATTTAAAATTAAAATATTAAAAATGAAGAAATTAAAATAATTAAATATTCAAAGATCTCAACTAAATACAATACCTTAAGAGCAGGCAACAGTTAAGAGTTAACAAATACTAACATGTTGTGCCCTGTTTTGCTATGTAACAATTAGTGCACCCTCTCCAGGCTCAGCCTCTCTTCTCTGCCCTGTACAGCCAGTTGGAGCAAAGACTCCATCTACCTCCCACACATCATCTTCACTACTTTCTGACCTTGCAGAAACCCTCTCCTGGGGAAAATATGTAATTATTAATATTATATAGATCATTTTAACTGATATACATGCTTTAAAAACTTCAAGATATACAAGTATACAACAAGAACAGTGAATATAAATTTCTAATCAAAGCTGAATCTGAAATCTTGTTTAGAATCACAATGTTCTACAGGGAACTTCAACTTCTAAAGGGAAATCTGATACATGTGTTATAATATACAGCACCTACTTTCTCAATCACTCCTCAAAATAAAAAACCTGAATTCACTGATTCAACATTTATTACAGTAAGAGTGGCTTGCTTTTCCTCAATTGTCCACCTTCCCCCTCTCCATGTCCTCCCCACCAAAAAAAAGTGGAAAAACTAGGGGGCAGTGAAGTTAGATGTCTAGGCATGGTTTTGAATCCTAGCTCTATTTTGCTAGTTATTTAATTCTCTCTTATCTAAAATTTCTTCTTCTATCAAAAGAGAAAAATTATGCCTCCTTTCAAGGAAATTTCTGTGAAGATGAGAGATTTGTGTAAAGCACCTACCTCATTGCTTGGCAGATAACAGATCCTCAATAAATAAACAGTAACTATTCACAGTTCAAAAACCTACAGTTTCTCCCCCAGACTGCTAACAATCTAGAACCTTAGTCCTCAACTACATTTTAGAAACTATAATGTATAAAATAATATGGACTGTACTTTTTACTTTTAATCACATTTTGACAATTTTGATGTATAAAATATTAGTGATCTTAAAATCCAAGTTTGATCACCTTTCTTTTCTACCTAATCTTTCAACAGCTCTTCATTATAGCTAAAATAAAATCCTTTCCTGCCTCTCTCCGACCTAATCTCCCATCACATTTCCTCTCACTCAATAAACCACATTATTCAGTCTCTGCAATAAGCTACGTTCGTTCCCACACTGGGCCCATCACTTACATCTGCTGTCCCCTGCCTGAACACATAGTCTACACCACGGTCACATGGTTAGCTTATTCCCATCTACTACATTTTAACTCAGTTGTCTGTTCTACAGGGGCCTTCTCTGACAATGCCTTTCTTTCTTTTTTTTTTTTTTTTTTTGAGACAGTCTCACTCTGTCACCCTGTGTAGAGTGCCCTGGCGTCGTCATAGCTCACAGCAACCACAAACTCCCGGGTTCTAGCCATCCTCTTGCCTCAGCCTCCCAAGTAGATGGAACTACAGGCACCCACCACAACACCTGGCTAGTCTGACAATGACTTCTGAAGAGGTCCTAGTCCCCTATCCTTCGGCCTTCCGTGTAATCTTCACAGCAATTACCTGTTTGATCTTTTTGATCTTTTGTAAGGTCTATTTTCCCCACTGGCAGCCCAGACTTCCAGAAAGGGTTAAAATGACCCAAAGTATCCTCTTGCTATTTGCTATATGGTTTTCGTCTGGTGTTTTGTTTTACTCTTTTCTAGGATCCTATAGGCAGGAAAGGTGGCTGGACTGAGACAGAATTAAATATTAGTGATTCTTAGTGACTCTGCCTAATATCAAATCTCCATTGTTTTTTCTAAGATCAGCTTTAGTCTCCAAATCTTAAAGATGCTTTGAAATCTGTCCATTGTAAAAAGTTTTAATATGTCTAATATTTTATGTAACTTCTTCATGATCTGCAAAAAGATGGGAGAAGCAATGTGGTGCCCTGCAAATACTACCATCAATGTTCTGACCAGTTACCCAGAAATTAACAATTCTTACAAAAATTACATTAAATATCAATTAACATGCCAACAATCTCAGTAATATTTATACTTCAGCTCAGATTCAGGGGAAAATATGAATTGGTCATTTTTCACTCTGATAGATGAGAAAAATGTAAGAATTTTCACATTAATTACAGAACTTTCAAAAAACATCTTATAAACTACTTTTTAATATTGGTGGCCAAAAGGCTCTCCTAAGGGTGAAACCCAATTCTGATGGCAAATTCACCTAATGTTGAATTTCTGCAAAGTTTTTTGAATTTCCAAAGTATTTTTTAGTTACACTTTACTTACCTGATGAAAGTAAGGCCACAATGATAATATAATGTGAAAATTACCCTGGAGGTGAAATCAAATGATCTGAATCATGACACTGTTTTACACTGTGATATTCCATGACCACCCCCTCCTTTAGTTCACTCATTCATTCGTTGACTCAGTGAATACTTACGAAAGGTTTCAATTGACACTTCTTTGTTAAATGATGTCATATTCCCTACAAAACATTTGGTTGCAATAAATTGTCAAGCCATCTTTAAACAGGACATCCCCTTTGCAAAACGTCATTAAACACTTCCTTTCTAATCTTCTGCAATTGTTTTGACATAATATAAAACCAGACAATCAACTAATTTGGAACACCTTCTAAATAACTCTCAACTGGATACAACTACACTTATGAATATTCAAGATCACCTCTATTCTGTATGCGAACCCATTTTTCTTGATATCTACAATTTTATTTGTTTTACAAAGAGAAAGACAACAACCTAGTATCCTGTAGCTCTCAATCTTCTATAATATTTTGTGGGTTGTGGGTTTTTTTTCCATGATACTGACAGATCTTCCATTGACTCACCGCCATTTGCAGAGGTGTTGAGTTTTCCCATTCATGGTAACATGAAGACAGAATGCTAGAAATGAAAACTGCCTTAGAAAATCTACTCCATTTTATTGGTTTATAAAGTCACCATAGAAGAGTTTGTAAAAGCAAGAGACTGAGGGCAAAACCAGTAAGATATAGACTAGAAGTCAAGGAATCTAAGCTCTAGTCCTAGCTTCCCTAACCAAATGCAAGGACAACTCTAAGACAGGATGGGATTTATAGGACAAAGTCCAAAGGCATAATAATAACACTTAGCATTTACTATGGGGCAGGCACTGTTCTAGTGCTTTACTTTTATTAATTCTTTCAATCCTCCATCCCCAGTGGTAAGAATTACTCTTTAATTTTTATTATTATTTTTTTAAAGATGAGAGAGGTACAAAGGCAGTATTTTTATATCAGTATAAGACAGAGATGTGAAGTCTGGGCTTTTAGTGTAACCATTACCCAAAAGTATTCATTGTACCCCATTACGTAACTTTACCTCCACCCTCCCACACTCTCACCTCTCCCAGTCACCAGTGTCTATTATTCCTCTCTCCATGACCTTGTGTACACATTATATAGCTCCTACTTATAAGTGAGAACATGTAATATCTGACTTACTGCATCTGAGTTATTGTAGCCCCCAAAATTATTACCACCCTCATATTACAATGAGAAAACTAAACTACCAAGAGAATAAGTAATTTTCCCCAAACCATGAAGGTAGCTGGTGAAGAAGGCAAGATTAAAACCAAGTGAGTCTGGCCCCACCGTGCCCAAGATCACAACCACTAGATCTGCACTAGCCGATGTGGACAGTGATATGTGGCACGTGCTTTGAGAATTTAAAGTGTGGCTAATCTTCTACAGTAATATGTGCTTTAAGTAGTGTAAAATACACACCAGGTTTAGGAGATTCAGTGCATCACATATACAGGAACAGAAAATAACTACCTCACTGATAATTTTCATACTAATTACATGTTAAAATGTTTGGATATAGTCATTTAAATAAAATATATTCTTAAAATTAATTCCACCTATTTCATTTTACTTTTCTAGTGTGGTATCTAGAAAAGTTTAAATTACACACTTGGCTTGCACTATATTCCCATTGGACAGCACTGCAATAGCCCATGTTACCCTTCACTACACTTTAAAACAATCAAATTTTCTAAAGAAAAAGACAGTTGCATTATTTCTGCAACAGACTAACATGAATCACAACAATAACTGTGAAGAATCAAAGCAGAGTTCTTTCCTGGCCATCAAGTACAAATAACTGGTAAAAAATTAAAGGATTTTTCAGTAATTATCAACACCCTCTCTTTGACACCTACTCAGAAATATCTACTTAAAAACTAAACTTTTTCAAAACTTTTAATTAAAATGCAATAATAATTGATTCATTATGCTAAGGTTCAAACCATTGGATAAAAGGTTGCCAGGGAAGGGAGTTACACAATTTGAGAGTCCTCTGCAATTTACTTATTATTAATTATAAAGTGGAAAATGTACCTTTACAATGGGCAAATGTAGAAGGCACTATCTCTAACTAAGAGATCAAATTCAGTATTACCAGTAGTTGGACAACCTGGTATCATATACATCTTAACAGCATGTAGTGTTTCTGCCAAAAGTGTTTAGCCTAAATCCAAACATGAAAAAATAATTACCCAAATCCAGAATGTGAGACATTCTATAAGGCAACTGTCCTGGACTCTTTTTTTTTTTTTTTTCTGAGACAGTCTCATTCTGTCACCCTGGGTAGAGTGCTGTGGTGTCACTGTAGCTCACAGCAACCACAAGCTCTTGGGCTCAAGAAATCCTCTTACTTCAGCCTCCCAAGCATCTGGGACTACAGGTGCCCACCACCATGCCTGGTTAATTTTTTTCTATTTTAGTAGAGATGAAGTCTTGCTTTAGCTCAGGTGGCACTCAAACTCCTGTGCTCAAGCACCCACCTGCCATGGTTTCCCAAAGTGCCAGGATTACAGGCATGAGCCTGGCCAACTGTCTTGGACTCTTAAAAAAAAAAAAAAAACAAAATGTCAGTG